CTGGCCTCAAGCAATCCTTCTGCCTCGGCCTCTCAGAGTCCTGGGATTGTAGGCATGAGCTACCGTGCCCAGCCTGGGTTCACATTTTATAGGACACACAGTTTTATGGTAGAGGTTCTTTTTTTAAACAGAGATTACTTTGGGACATTTTGCAGGAGCACACTCGATTTTCCAAGTTAAGGCATGCTATTTTCCCAAGCAGGCTGGGGCTTCTGCATCAGTAGTGTGTTAACACTGGCTAATATTTCTGTGGGTACACTTGGGGCTACCAGGAGTCAGTCATTCATTCGATGGAGTCAGCATTACAGCAGAGCCAGTGATCCCTCTAGTCCTTTCCTGTTAGCGTGTCTGACATTCTGGTCCCCACCTGGGGTTTTCAGCTTTAAATTAGCGATTTACGCTTCATTAGTAGAGTGGGGTTAATAATACATGTTGCCTTCTGTTTTCACCAGTTTGTATGGGAATCAAGAAAGAAGAGGTTGTGTCCCTGCAGAAGGAGGGGGACACATAAACGCACCTCATGAAGTATGTCGCTCTTCTGTTTCTCTGCTACTTCATGTCCATTTCCACAGTCAGCAATCTGCCATCCGGTGCCAGCATTCATTGTATTCCATTTGTATTCCAAGTTGCAATTCCCTTTATAGTACATATTAGTGCTTAAGATCTATTTGTCAGCTGTTGTGTAAAGGAACGAATAAATTTGTCAGTATTCAGTGAACACATAATGACCCAGAGGAATGCAAGTTTGAATCTGAAGCTGTTAAATGTGAGAGGCAGTAAAGATGGCTGTAGAAAACTAGTGAACCAATCGCATGCAGGTTAGTCACATTTTTACGGATTTACCATGCATTAATTGTTCATTGGTTTTCACTTCTTTGAAGACCTCAGTTCCAAATCTTGTTACAGTAGACATTGCGCTGGAGTTGGGGAATGCAAATAACTCAGTTTTTTTCTGAGCCATATTCAATGTCTTTTAGGAATTACTCAATATTGATACTCATACTCTAGACCATGATATTGTCAGTTAAGTCATTTAGGTCTGTCATGGTTCTAATTTCTTTTTTTTTTCTTTCTTTCTTTTTTTTGAGTCAGAATCTTATTCTGTCACCCAGGCTGAAATGCAGTGGCATGCACAGGCGATCCTTCTGCCTCAGCCTTCCAAGTAGCTAGAACTATAGGCACATGCTACCATGCCCAGCTGATTTTTTTTATTGTAGAGATGAGGTCTTGCCAAGTTGCCCAGGTTGGTCTCAAACCCCTGGGCTCAGTCATCAGGCATCAGGCAATCCTCTCTCCTCCACCTCCCCAAGTGTTGGGATTAGAGACATGAACCACTGTGCCCAGCTATGGTTCCAATTTCTACCCTTGAGTGTTTAACTTCTGAAGCTCTAGGCTTAGGAGAGAAGCTCACAGGGCAAAATGACTTTTTTTTTTTTTTTTTTTTGAGTTGGGGTCTTGTCGCCCAGTCTGGAGTGCAGTGGCACAATCACAACTCACCACAGCCTTGACCTCCCTGAGCTCAGGCGATTCTTCTGCCTCAGCCTCCCAATAGCTGAGTTTACAGGAGCATACCACCATGCACAGTTAATTTTTTGTAGAGACCGGGTCTTACTACATTGCCAAGACTGGTTGCACACTCCTAGGCGCAAGCAGTCCTCCCACCTCAGCCTCCCAAAGTGCTGGAATTGCAGGCGTGAACCAGCACACCACAGCAAAAGTGACATATTTTTCATCTTCCCCAGATAATTTTAGTTTGAAAGAACCTAACAGAACACCTATTTTAATGTGATTGTGCACATGCGTGTGTGTGTGTGTGTGTGTGTGTGTGTGTGTGTGTGTGTGTGTGTGTGTGTGTCTGGTTGTGTTTTGCATGTGTATCTCAGGGAATATACTAGGAAATGCTTTTGAATATAGCAAATATAGGAACTATTCCCAGAAAGTTAGGTCCACTTTCTTTTTAAACAGGAACCCCCCACTATTAAAGATAGCCCCCTCCCTGCCAACTAAACAGAATTCAGATGGATGTAGGAGAGCTTCACATTCTTACTTTTTAAGAAGTATGTTGTTAATTTTTATTTTAGAGATGATTCATTTAAGATAAAATAAATGATTTCAACTCATTAGACTGTGACTCTATCATAATTACCAAAATGCCCTTTGTGGGGTACATGTGAGGATTTGCTACATAAGTAGGTGGTATGCAGATGACTTTTGGGATTCTAGCAAGCCCTCTCTCTCCTGGTAGTGGGCATGGTACCCAACGGGTGGTTGTGTGCCCATTATCCCCCCTCCCTTCCCCCACTAGCAGTGCCAAGTGTTAGTTGTTCTGGCCTTTGTGCTTGCATGCCCAATGTTTAGGGCCTGCTAATGAGTGAGAACATGTGGTGTTTAGTTTTTTGTTTCTGTGATAGTTCACTTAGAATGATGGTCCCCAGCTGCATCCAAGTTGCTGCAAAGGGCATGATTTTGTTCTTCTTTATGGCTACGTAGAATTCCGTCATGTATATGTACCACGTTTTCCTTATTTAGTCTACTTTTGATGGACATATGAGTTAGTACAATGTTTTTGTTACTATGAATAGTGCTGCAATGAACATATGTGTCCAGGTGTCTTTTTGGTCTTATGTTCCTCTGGGTATATTCCAAGAAGAGGGGTTGCTGGATTGTATGGTAGCTCAATTTTTAGTTCTTTGAGAAAACGCCACACTGCTTTCCACAAAGTTTGAACTAGCTTACTTTCCCACCAATAGTGAGAAGTGGTTCTTTTTTCTCCGTAGCCTCACCAGGTATGGTGCTTCTTAATACATGAATATTTCTTGCTTAGATTCTGCAGGCGTTTTTGGCTACTATAGACTACATATGTGAAGGACCTCATCTTCTCTCTCCTTCATTCCAACATCAAGATTCTAATATCGGTGTGGCTGAAGGTAGAATGAACCTATAGGCCTGTATCTCCTAGTTGTCATGAGTGACAGGCTCATTAGACCTGGTGCAGGTTTCAAGTCTTAATCGTATACCAACACAACTTGAGCAGACCCACACAGTGGTCACAGGAGTCAAAACATGGCCATCTTTAGCTTCTCTTACACTCTACTGATGTAGACCAGCAGAGATGGAACTGGGCCCTATCTGTTCTCTGAATCATTGGAGTCAGGCCTTGTGGCTTTCTGCTTCCCTGCCCTGCTCTGGATCCTTACTGTGGTGTACCCATGCCCAGCCAGGTTAAGAATCACTGATGTGTCACCTTGCATAGTCATGGGTAGTAACTGGTGTTAGAGCCACTCACTTAAAACTTCTGTATCTGCTTAATTCTAGACTTTTGTTTAATTGCATTTCTTTAATTGCATTTTCTTTAGTCTATAATCTTACTGCCTCTGATTGCTATGACTGGACTCGGGTACTTTCTCTCCCAGGTAAATTGCTTTGATTCTCTGTCATGCCTTGGGTGGCAGCTTTATGTTCTCACTTAGCTGTAAGAGTTCCAGTTCCCATCATTGGTCACATTATCAACTCAGATCCTTTTTTGAGCACCAACTACTGTATTTCAGTGTGATAAATTGCCTTCCTTCTTACATTCTCTTTCATGTCCTCATGTGTCTCTATCTTAATGATGATTAGTCTTTGCCAAACATCCAGCTCTATTTGCTATTAAATTCCAGGTGTGTGGGTGAGGGCTGTCTTTGAAGTTGAAGGTCAGATATAGCAAATGCCAATAAACAAGTATATAGCTATTTTTACATGTTAGTAATTCATTGCTGATGATCAAAAATAAAAGCTTGTTATCAAGACCAAGGCACTTTCTTCAGCAATTTTTCTGTGCTCAGTACACATCCTCTGACACTCTCTTATCTAATCTTTGTTTAAAAGCCTTTCTTGATTAATTGATTTCTCATTGATGTACTGTTGGCACCAAAGAGTTTATATTTATTTGAGAGAATGTGCTCTGGCATTAAGCAATTAATTTTTTATGAGTTCTACCAGAGAATGTGGTGTCAGTATTTATTTGGAGTCTTTTTTTTTTTCTCCAATGAATGCTGAAAGATGTATTTTGCCCCCATTTTCTTACATGTATTTTTAAAAACTCAAAGCAGAGTCCATATAAGCATCAGTGTCAGAAACACTTCAGAAATTCTGTAGTGCCTATTGTGATATCGTCTTCACTTTTCTTTCTCAGTTATAGAAATAAGTTTTTCCTGATTGGGTCTCCACCCACGCAGTCAGGAAACAATTGCTTACCACATCCATCATTTCTGTCTGCACATTATCATGTTTCAAAGGTTTTCCAATTAATCCTGTGGAAGCTAGAATCACTCATAATTATAATCCTGTTATGCCTTCTTTATTTCTTGATGTGCTTGTTAATTCCTGTCCATCCTGCAGTGGTCTGTAACATAGTGCTATTATCAGCTCTTTTGTCTTTAAAAGCCTCCTGTCTGCCATTTTGACTAAGATTGATTAACTGCACTTTGTTGAAATCGATTATTTTGGATAAAAAAAATCTATCCTGTATATTTCTTCTGGCTACTTTTGCATGGTTTCACCTTTTTTTTTTTTTTAGCAATTAATCAAGCTGCTGACCTGATTGTTTTCATTTTTTTGTTTTTTGGTTCCTTTCTTGGTCTCCTTTCTTTTTAAATAACTGTTTATCTTTATCTCTTTATTTATCCTATCCTCTCATAGACAGCACCTCTGGGGAAAAGGCAATTGCAGGAGGCAGTGGAATAAATTCTCCTTTAGAGCCCAGACAGACATTACTCCCATTTCCTTTTTTATAAAATGAGAAAGATAGTCCCTCACCTTGGTGCCTCTCTTCCTGAGCAGTTTCGGGGGTGAAAGCCTCGTAATTGATTGCTGGGCCCTTTGCGGTAACACTGTAACTAGCGTATTTCTTCTTCATAGCCTCAGACGCCTCTGTTTTCTAATCTTACCAGGTGAACTCAGACTTAGATAGCAAGAATTTTTTTGGATATACTAATTAATGTTTTCTTTTTTTTTCCTAGGTACTGACTTTAACATAGATAGCTTACCTCTGCCTCGGCAAGCCCATCATGACTGGGCCCTTTTTCATGAAGAGTCCCCGAAAAACAATTACAAGCTCTTTCATAAGCCAGTCATCACCTTGTTCAACTACACTGCCACATTCAGCAGGCATTCCCACTTGCCACTGACTACCCAGTACTTGGAGGGCATAGAAGTCCTTAAGTCACTCCAGTACCTAGTTCCTTTACAGTCCAAAAACAACCTTAGAAAAAGACTTGCTCCACTGGTGTATGTACAGTCAGACTGTGACCCACCGTCGGATAGGGACAGCTATGTTCGCGAGCTGATGACTTACATTGAGGTCGACTCCTATGGCGAGTGTTTACGAAACAAAGATCTCCCTCAGCAGCTGAAAAATCCAGCCTCTATGGATGCCGATGGCTTTTATAGGATCATTGCACAGTATAAGTTTATGCTTGCTTTTGAGAATGCAGTTTGTGATGATTACATCACTGAGAAGTTCTGGAGACCACTGAAACTGGGAGTGGTCCCTGTATATTATGGATCTCCCAGCATCACAGACTGGCTTCCAAGTAACAAAAGCGCTATTCTTGTATCGGAATTTTCTCACCCCAGAGAATTGGCAAGTTACATCAGACGACTGGATTATGATGACAGCTTGTATGAGGCCTACGTGGAATGGAAGCTGAAGGGTGAGATCTCTAACCAGCGACTTCTGACAGCTCTTAGGGAACGGAAATGGGGAGTGCAAGACATCTACCAGGACAATTACATCGATGCGTTTGAGTGTATGGTGTGCACCAAGGTGTGGGATAATATCAGGCTCCAGGAAAAGGTAAGCAAGAGTCTGGCAAAGAGATGCTAGGCTGGCCGTCTTGATGGCCTCTTCCCTTCCGCGTGGCCACTATACTTCCTTTTGTTGCTGCTGTCTCATCACTGTTCTTCTTTCCTATCAGAGAGGCTGGGTCCTGTGAGAAAGTCAGCTATTTCAGTACTGTCTTTGGGGGCTGTCATGAAGTTTCTAAGCCCTGTCCTTCTTGAAGGCCTCCAGTTCTCCTTATTGTTTCTTCTGGATGACGCCCATGCTGCAGGTGCAGGGTAGTGACACAGGAAAGAAGGAAAGAGGAAAGAAGGCGCGAACATAAACAGATGAAGAGTTCTGCACATCATTCCCACAGTTAATCCTTTAACCTCTCCATCAGTGCTGTGGCAAAGGAATATGATGATTTCTGCCAGACTCTTAACTTATGCTCCACAGCCACAGTTTTGAAACTCATTTTCATTTCACAGCGACACCTAACCTCTTTCTCTGTCTCTCTTTTCTCTCTTTCTGATTTGTGTTCTTTCTTTTTCTGGAACACATTCATGAGTATTATTATATGGAGGAACTATTTCAATAATGATGAGGATAATCCTTAAACAAGCTATTAAAAGTTATTATGAAATTCTTAGCAATGTCTTTAAATTCCTGAATTGCTCTTGATGTTTGTTTGCTTTATTTATTTATAATGAGAATGTTCTCACTTCATGTGTAACTGAATATGTTAAAAGGAAATTTGTTGAGAGAAAGATTAGTTTTAACTTCTTGAAATTTTTTAAAGGTGAGGCGGCCCACATATACCACTTGCCTATGCCCTGTCATGCTCTTGCTTGACTCCCATATACACATAATGTTTTATATAAGTTCTCTGAAGGCAATTAATTTTTGTTGACTATTTAAATGTTTATTTTGGCTCTCTTATTAATTTCAAGTCAAACATAAACCTAAGCTGTGTGTGGAATTATTTTTAGGCATTGTATATATACTTACATGGGGATTTCATACATTAAATATGTATATGTTTAGATAAATTTAAGATACTTAAAATATTTTTTATAATTTGAACAATTATGAAAACCTAAATTATTTCATCTGGTTTTCTACAACATTTTAGCTCATAAGTCATTTATTTTATGTTGAATGTCTTGGTCAGCAACAGGAACAATTACTATTACATCATTCTTCTCAAAGGATACATCCTGATTTCTGATGACTTCCTTGATGATCTAATTTATAGGGCCACATTACAGCAAAAAATAAACACACACACACACACCCCTTCAAAACACACGAGAGAGTTGAAACCACATTAATTGACCATGCTATACCAATTATTTTTTCTAAAAATATGTCAAGACAGAAAACAGAATTTCTAAGGGTGATGATTTGCCTGAGCTAGCTTTCAAGCTCATTTCAAAGCTTGGAGGTTTTATTCACAGAAAACTGCAAGAACTATGCAAACTCTGACTATTCCTGTACCTCATAGAAGCCCCATTGGAATGATTATTTGGGACTGGAAGAGGAGATATGATGACATTGGTAAATAGCTTTTAAAAAGTTGTAGGAAATTATTCTGGCATTTCCAACAGAAACGGCTAACTGTGGCAGTTCAGAATGCCTGAAAGTGGTATAATTGAATGACCTTCTCTTGGACTCATTGAGGAAAATTAAAGTAGTCTTTTCTCCAGTGTGTCCTGATTCCTCCTAGAGAGGTGGTCAGTGAAGATGATTAGAAGGTTTTGCTTGCATTTCAATGAAGTAGTTCTAATTCCAAAATGCTAATGTGCTCATTATTGAAAAGCAGAACAAAACATTCTATGAAAGTAAATTAAAAGGTATTAGAGCAGTTTTCATTTGCATTTATTTTACAAAATTTATTATAGCTTATATATGTCACAACTTAAAGTAAGTTACTTAAATATAAGATTCTTCATTTTTTCTCTTTCAGCAAAAAGAAATCAGAAAAAAATAATTTGATTTTCTCTGATTGTTTTCATCTTGCAGTTGATAATAGTTTAAATTGTTGTGTTTGGATGTAGAAAATGCTGTTGGAATACCAAATGCATCTCCCATTTCCTAACTCTGCTTCTACTCTCTTTTCACTCCTACAAATATCTAGACCTAATGTGTTCGTCATCTATTGCTGTGTAAAAATATTACCACAAACTTAGTGGCTTAAAACAACATACATTTGTCATCTCAAAGTTTCTGTGGGTCAGAATTCATAGCTTAGCTGGGTCGTCCCCAAGGCTGCAATCAAGGTTTCAGTTAGGGCTCAATTCTCATCTGAAGGCTCAGTTGGGGAAAGGTTTGCTTCTAAACTTACATGCTTTTTGGCAGACTCAGTTTCTTGAAGTGATAGGACTGAGGGCTTTGGTGTCTTGCTGACAGGAAGCTGGAGGGTGCCCTCAGCTCCAAGAGGCGACCCACACTTCCTTGCCTTGTGGGCTTCCCCAACATGGCTGCTTACTTCCTCAAAGCCAGCAAGGAAGCCAGAGACTCCAGCAAGACTAGTACCACAACCTTTTATACATAATCACGTACACTGTCCACCTCTGCTGTATTCTGTTGCCCACACTCAAAGTGCTATAGACTGAATGTCTGTATCCCTGCAAAATTCAGATTTTGAAGCCTTATAACCCAATGTGATGGTATTAGAAGGTGGAGACTTTGAGAGATAATTAGGTTATGAGGGTGCTGCCCTTTAGAAGGAGAATAGTACCTTTATACAAGATACCCCAGAGAGATTTCTTACCTCTTTCTGTCATATGAGGACGCAGTGATGAGACGGCCATCTGTGAACTGGGAAGCAGGCCCTCACCAGACACTGAATCTGCTGGCACCTTGATCTGGGTCTCCCCATCCTGCAGAACTGTGAGAAATATTGTTTGTTGTGTAAGCCACCCGGTCTATGGTATTCTGTTATAGCAGCTGCGGAGACTAAAACACAAGGAGAGGGGATTACATAAGGGGGTTACAACCAGGAGTTGGAGATCCTGGGGGCTACCCTGAATCTATCTGCCACCCCTAGTGAATCTGAGTGGACTTATTCTCAATCTTGTGTGCTTTCATTAAGTAGGGGAAAGTCTTTCAGTATTGAAGAGGCTACCCCATGAGTTAACTTTAGTCAGTTTAAGAGTATTTATGGAGATATGATCCTATCCTCAAAGAAGCTGTAATAGGAGTGACAGCATATGATCACCAGAAATATAATCTCATGGAATTGGGATAAACCTTTTAAAAAGTAGCTTTATTGAGGTGTAATTGATATGCAATAAACTGCACATATTTAAAATATATAATTTGGCAATGACATGCATGCACTGTGAAACCATCACCATAGTCAAGATGACAAACATTTCTATCATCCCCCCAAAATTTCCTCATGTCCCTTTATAATCCATTCTTCCTCCATGCCCTTTCTATGCTTTGACAAAAAAGCCCAGGTAATTTTCTAGAATTTTATATAAGTAGAATAATGTAATATGCAATGTTATGGTCATGTTGACATTCATTCACATTGTAGTATTTATCAGTAGTCCATTTCTGAAGTACTGTATAAATATACCAAAATTTTCTTGTTTACTTACCTGTTGATAGATATTTGTGCTACTTCCAGTTTTGGGCTTTATAAATAAAGGTGTTATGAACATTTATATAAAACCAAAAGTACAAGTCTTCATATGGACATATGCTTTCAGTTCTCTTCTGTAAATACCTAGGGGTATAATGGCTAGGTTGTATGGTAGATGTATATTTAACATTTTGAGAATCTACCAAACTGTTTTCCAAAGTTGTTCATCTAAATTTTCACCAGCTTTGTATGAGACTGCCATTCATTGACACTTGATGTGATCAGTCTTAATTTCTGACATTCTAGTATATGTACAGTGGTCTCTTACTATGGTTTATTTCTGGAATGACAAATGATATTGAACATATTATTATCACTTATTTGCTATCAAGATCTTCTTTGATGAAATGTCTCTTCAAACCTATTACTGATTTTGAAAAACATTTATACTTCATCTTATTACTGAGTTGTAAGAATTCTTTTTCCAAATTTATTTTAGACTCAAAGGGTACATGTGCAGGTTTGTTACATATTGCATGATGGTAAGGTATGGGCTTCTATTGATCCTGTCATCCATGTTTTGAGCATAGTACCCAATGAATGGTTTTTCAGCACTTTCCCCTCACCCTTCCTCCCCACTATAGGAGTCCCCAGTGTCTCTTGTTCTCATCCTTATGCCCATGTGTATCCAGTGTTTAGCTCCCATTTATAATTGAGAACATGTGGTATTTGGTTTCTGTTTCTGTGTTAATTCAGTTAGAATGATGGTCTCCAGTTGCAACCATTGTTGTCACAAAGGACATAGTCTCATTCTTTTTTTTTTTCTTTTTCTTTTTATGACAGTGTAATATTCCGTAGTATATACATGCACACTTTCTTTATTCAGTCCACTACTGATGGGTAACTGGATTTCATATTTTCACTATCATGAATAGTGCTATGATAAACATACGAGTGACGGTGTCTTTTTAGTAGAATGATTTATGCTTCTTTGGGTATATACTCAGTAGTGAGATTGCTGGGTCAAGTAGTAATTCTGTTTTTGGTTATTTGAGAATAGGGACTGAACTAGCTTACATTCCCTTCAACAGTGTATGAGCATTCAATTTTCTCTGCAACCTTACCAACCTCTGTTTTTTGTTTTTGTTGTTGATGTTGTTGTTAATAATAGCAATTCTGACTGGGTGAGATGGTATCTCACCTGGTTTTTGATTTGCATTTCTCTGATGCTTAGTAAAAAGCATTTTTCTCATAAATTTGTTGACCACTTGTATGCCATCTTTAGATATGTGTCTGTTCATGCCCTTGGCCTGTTTTTTTTTTTAAATGGAGTTGTTTGTTTTTCTCTAGTTCATTCATACAAATTTCTTATAGATTTTGGATTTTAGCCCTTTGTCAGATAAATAGTTTGCGGATATGTTCTCCTGTTCTGTAGGTTTTC